AAGGTATTAAAAACAATTTTTTTTTTTTTTTTTTTTATAATGGTTTAAAATTTTCGATTCTCAATTTTTGTAATACTTTTTCTGATTACCTGTGAGCTATTCAATTTTGGTTTTGTGTGTATTGTTTCTAATCTTCAGCATATAATGCATAGATTTTTCTATATTACATTTTGTTTACCTTAGTTTGCATGTATTTGTACTATGTCAAATAATCTGTATCTCAGAGTTTGTTTGATTTCTCAGAATTCTAAAAAATTTTTCATCATCTGTTCTAAAATCAAAACTTTTTTAATATTTCAAGTTTCTTCAGACTTTTCTTCTGTTCTTCTGTTTTGTTATATGTATTTTCCTTCCTTGCTTTCTTTTACTTAGTAGCTTTTCTGCTTGTTCTTAATAAAAATTATGTGTTTTTTTCAGTTTTCTTTCTGCTTTAAAATTAGTCAAAGTGATCAACAGAAAGAGTTTTTAACTATACATTGCTAATAATTAAGTATGCTATAAAATTTGTATTACTGTTTATTATATTTTGTGAATTTTTAGAAGTTATACTGTATTATCATCTTGAGATATTATATTGAAACATAATAGATACTATCTTTTAAACAATATTAAAGACAAATTTGTCTTGAATTTGATAAAAAATTTTATAAATTTTTAAATTGCTCAAAAAATTATTAATAATAAGGAGTTTATAATTATTATAAAAAATATTCTTAAAAATATATTTTATAAACTTTATTAAAAAATTTTTTTACTTTTATTAGAAAGATTTTGAGTAATTAAATTTTAAAGTTTTATTATTCAAAAAATTTTACTATTAAATTTAAATTAAATTTTCTAAAATTCTATATATTTCTGAAGCTAAAAAATATTTTTACTTCTAATATAGTTTAAATTTTTACAAGTTAATCATAAAAATTATAATAATAAAAATTATTTCTTTTGATAAATTATATTAAATTATGATTTATCAAAATAATCTATTTAATAGATAACAAATTAATTAAGAATAAATAACAAAATTTTAAAATATTTTTAAAATAGTAAAAATTTTTTAAAATTTTAAAATTTTAATATATATATAATTTAAAATTTTTTTCTTATAATTTAAAAACAAATACTGTTTTCTTTCTCTATAATTACACAGTTCATATCATGTAAATTGTATAATTATATAAAGGTTTTTACTATGATATGCTTATAAAGAAATATTTTTTTATAAGTTTATTAGTAAAATATTGCAAGCTTTAATATGATTATAAAAAAGGTTTTAATATGATGTGATTATAGAGGAGGTGATTATAGAGGAGTAAGACAGTACTACAATTATATTCAAAAATTATTAAAAAAAAATCAAATTTAATTATCTCAATTTTTTAAAAAATTATATCATAAATATTTTTATTAAAAAATTAGAGGCAAATTTGCTTCGAATTTGCATACAGATTAAGGAATAATTTTATTTATCACCATACTCCGACATGAACAAAATGATTGGTTAAAATGTACAGAACACTCGTAGCAAATGATATTATAGGAAAAAAATATTACAGAGATTTGGCTATATGTTTGTGATTATCAGAATGTCAGCTAGCCTCATACGATGCTTTATGGGCTTTGACTAGTTTAGATAGTCAATTATATTAATTAAAAGAAAAGTGAAGTCAATAATTATTCTAATAAGATTTGGGATTTGGCTGGAATTTGGGATTTGGCCGGAATTTGAGATTTGGCCGGAATTTGGGATTTGGCGGGGATTTGTGGGCTTATGGGATTTTCGAACAATCCCATGGCAAGTATATCTGTAGATTCTTAAAAAAAATTTTAAAAATTTTTTACTAGTTTGTATTTTGAAATATTAGAAATTTTTAAAACTTTGATTAAAGAAAGATATCTTGACATCTACATAATTAAATTTATTAATTTTTATCGAATTTGGTATATTGATAATTTCGATCAAAGTCTTACAAAGATTTTTTTCTAGCTTGTAATTTTTGAAATTTTGATCAAATATATCCCAACAACTACCTAATTTTTTTAATATTTAGATTCATAAAATTCGAATAAAAAAATTTCATCAATTTTGGTTTAGTTGTTGAGAGACCTTCAATTAAATTTAAAAAAGCAAATGATCAAATAACTTAAATAATAGGATTAGAATCACGAAAATAATTTTAATTTTTTGCTGTAATTTAGATAACCTTTTAAAAATTTACTCTGTAAATGAGTGGGCTATTTCTATAATTTCGAAATATGCATGTCACGTAATGATTCCAAGTCGATCAAAATTTTAATCAGTTAAAGGGTTGAACAAGTTCTTTCCTCTTTATTTTATCAATTCATTTCATCTATTATTTGAAAATGCTTCTATTTTTTTATTATCGTTTTAACATTTTCAAAAAAATTTGCAATTTACTAGGTACGGATTTTAAAATAGACTCAGGTTTGGTCTTCATGTTCATTATCAACGTAGTTTAGCTTTGAGTGTTGGGCGTGAGAGCATGGACTTTCTGAGATAAGTAATATTCATTATGGCTTTAAAAGACCGGCTATGAATTATAATGTCTTTTAATTGTAAGTTTACTGTGGTATCTTTTCAGAATGTTGGGATACAAGTGACTTTTCCTAGGCGTTAAAAATTGGAATTGAATATTGCAGTTACAAAAGACAACGGTTTTGATATATATATATATATATATATATTTTCGTAGAGTCTTTATTGGTTTAGGTTCTTGCGATGAAAAAAAGGCATAATCGTCATTACGGTCATCGTAATAAGACATTTGTGTGATTGGCTAATTTAAATCAATTTCCGGGTAATTTATAAACTTTAATACTTCGATAGACGTACTGTACGTACGACCAAAAAAAAAAAAAGATCAGGAACATAAAAACTTTAGAAGACAAATATTTTACTATTTATTACTATTACTAGCTATATACAAGTCACTCTTGTTATAGTGAAGTAATTTGGGCTATTAATAAAGATTTTTTTAAAAATTCACTATAACGAGGTTTATTGGTAAATTTACTATATCGAGAGGGTTTTATATAGATGGTTTTAGCCTAATTTCCTTATATCGAGAGTTCAATATAACGAGAGTAACTTGTATATATATCGTATGGTGCGTTTATTCTTTACATATAAAATCAACCAGCCAATTTGAAAGAATCAACCAGTCAATTTTAAAAAAATCGACCGACCAGGTCGAAAAATCGGATTTGCCGATTTTTTGCAATCGGCTAGGATCATTAATGTCACGATAATAAGTATTATCATCTGGTAACGGAGAACTTTCACAGCAAGTTATTGTATGATACGGAGGTAATGTTAAAAAAAAAAAAAAAAAAAAAAAAAAAAATGTGAATATTTAAGAATCGGAATCATTTCCATTTGCAGTCGCACTCAAACGACGCTCTTTTTCGGTCTCTAGTTGGTTGTACAACAAGAAAAGAGCCTTTTCGTTTGCTTCTGGAGTGCCTTGAATGGTGAACATGCGTTCGCCAGTTTCATCATGAGGTGTCTTGGCGATACTAATACGAGAACCAGAGAGTCTACGAATTTCCGAAATCTTTGAACCACCTTTGCCAATAATGCAACCAACCATATCAGCAGGAATTGAAATATTTTGAGTTCTAATGCTGGAACTATCGTAATTATTACTATTGGAAGGCTGACGACGGTTATGGTATTCACTGTTACCATTTCGAGAAGGGCGAGTAAAATCAGTTCCACTTCCAGTTCGAACAGTATATTCATTACGTCTAGTAGTTGAGTAGCTTGAAGTGACCCTAATAGCTGGATTATAAAGAACAGTTCCGATACCTCGTTCGTTATCTTCAATTAGACATTTGCCGATTTCCCAAACTGCGACACGAATTGCTTCGACAGTTCCTTGAACTTCGACTACTCTCTCTGTACTCTGTGGAAGCATTTCCTTTGAAGCAACCATTCTGGCTCCAGAAACGTCTTGGATATGTTTGATTTTTAGGCCTTGCCGACCAATGATCGTTCCCATTAGATTATGAGAGATGAGTAAACGGACGGAAGTAAAAGCATTTGGAGGAGGAGTGATTGGAGTTGAAGTTGGACTAGCATTCACAGGGTTTTCAAGGAGAGTTTGGGCGATTAGAGAATATGCCTATTAAAAATGAAATTCATTTGTTTAAAAAGCAAATCTTGTAATGAATTTTAACATAAAAAAAAAATATAAATAAAAATATAAAACAAGATTCCGAAATAAAATACGTAGTAAAAGGCTAGTGGAATAATAACTTCAATGATGAGCCTTTCAAACGAGTTTTTTTTTTTTTTTAACTTAAATCCCACAAAGATTTGCACGGAGGCATTTAAATCAGATTCTTACCTTCGCGACTCCATCCAGAGTACCTGCTACAGATAATACCCTGTCATGAACGCCTTGTACAACTTTAGACACACCAGCTTTGACACCAGTTGTTTCTCTAAGCTCGGCTACATTTTTACCGGCTTTTCCAATGATAACACCAGCTTCTTTAGTAGAAACAAGAGCCCTGATGGTAAGTTGAGAACTAGAAATATCTTCAGTCTCTTCTTCACCAGCTTCCTCTTTAGTTTCACCTTCAATACTTTTATTGTCCGGTGAACCCGCTTGATCATTTAGTTGACTAAAAGGAGCCTTATCAAAAAACGAATTTGTATTTGTTGATGGAACGATGGTTGTGGATGAAGAGGAGCTAATGCCATTACTTGTGACAGCGGTTACTGCAGGTGCAGTGGTAATGCCGTTCGCTTCAGTTTGGTCTAGAAGAGCTCCGTGATTAGTGATAGGATCATTTGCCATTTTCGAGGACAAGGAGACGGTTTAGTTAAAGTTAAATTCGTTGGTAAACTAGGAAAATTCATGATATATTATACATTTTTGATTTATAAATGTCTGATTTCACTGTTCTTTTAAAGATTATTATTTGATATGGTGTATGGTATTCTAATATTTTTCCTAACAAGGAAACATGTAATTAAAAACTTCTTACCAGGTGAGACACACAGGAAAGGGTAAGGAGAAGTTGTCAGGAATTACTTTGTTTCAAAAGTTTATCAAAGATAAACTTGAATTAGGAACAAGAGAACGTTCCGATGTAAAGGACAAAAAACAAAATAAAAAAAAGGTAAATATATTAGAAAGATCGAAGGTAAGTTTTTTTTTTTTTTTTTTTACTTTTTTTTTTTTTTTTTTTTATATTTTATTATTATAAGTGGAAGGGTGACGGTAAATAGGGTACGGCACGGCGTGTTAGGGAAGAGGAGCGGCAAAGAAAGGGTGGGATTTTTTTTTTTCCCAACCGTTCGTTAAAAATTTGTTTTTCTTTTGGGGTTGGTGTACTACACAAAACCTGATTTTTGATGACGTTTGAATTGCATGATTGTCAGGATCTTTCATTGATAAAATGCTGATTTTCAAAAAAAAAAAAAAAAAAAAAAAAATCCCGCAGCTTTGTGCATTGTTGATTTTTAGAAGGTCCATTTTTTTTTTTGTACATCAAGAAATATGCAGTGTAAACATGATTGGACAAGCAAACTTCGCATCTTGTATGTAGTGGCCAGTGCATGAAAGAACTCAAACTTCTGTACACAGGAAAAACTAGTTATTCAAGTTTGAAGATATGAATAAATAGTCAATAAAGCCGATACAATCATACCATTCGTTTAACCAAAAGTTGATTTGCAGAAAAAATTTAAAATAGTCATGTATCATATCTAAAAAATCTGATTCTCAAAAGGAAATCATACCATTCATTTTTAAAGCCAAAAGCAATTAAAAAGCTGCTGAGACGAAGTGACATCTAATTAATTTGAAATCCTAATTTTCGGATATTTCAATATGGGATACAGATCGACAGCTACCTTCATAATTTCCGCATAATACGATCTTTTAATCATGAACCGAAGCTGATAAGTGAAGCGAATATCCAAAAATTGAGATGATCCCAGTATCTTGGAGTCATGTTACTCTGCGAGTAAAACTTTTGAACAGTTAATAATGGCTATGAAGTTCTCAAAGTATTAAAGATATAGCGGGTTACATTCCGCTGCTAATTAACATCTAATATTGAAGATATGATGGTGATTGTGGATTGAAGTTAATGACGATATAGAATTCAGTAATTAAACTAGGATACAATCAGAATTACTGTCTTCGAATTATTGTCAATTGAAATGGTTGATTTTGTAATATTATCAATTTCACGGGTATAAAATTTACGCCAGGCCAAAAATTTAAATGCGGAATTTCGATAGAGTTTGTATACGATAGTAGGTATTAGATGAATTATAATTATTTTAATTTGACGATACAGTATTATTAGCGAATAATTCTGTTGATGGTCTTTGAAATCATAGTATTACAAAAATTGAGAATCGAAAATTTTAAACCATTATAAAAAAAAAAAAAAAAAAAATTGTTTTTAATACCTT